ATGGAGCCTCCATGTTGGACATGCCTGGCCCCCAGGTAGCGCTTTTCTGTTGGTGCAGCTGCCAGCATCCCCCGTGCAAGCCTCTAGCTTCCTTATTTGTTTGTAGCTCCATTTTTTTAAAATTGTACTTTAGGTTCTGGGGTACATGTACAGATCATGCAGGATTGTTGCACAGGTACATACATGGCAAGGTGGTTTGCTGCCTTCTTCCCCCCATGATTTTTTTTTTTTTTTTTGAGACTGAGGCTGTGGACACACAAAGAGGGAGGTGGAGCCTCTGCAGACATCAGGAAAGTGATGGAGGATCCAATGGTGGGGGCTTCTAGGTGCAGGGCAGTGATCTGGCCTAAGAGAGACCGGATTTCCAAGCCTTGTCCTTACCAAGAATGTTTCCTGTAAGAAACACCAGAATGCTCATGACGAAGGAACCCAGCCAGTAGAGTCCAGTGTTCCGGTATCTCCTCCTGGGCAGGGGATGGAGGGGTGACCAGCAGGTAGACATTTCATAATCTCGGAGCCCCAGCCAGGACCCAGAGAGCACCGTGAGCTTCCCAGCTCCTGGTCCCTCTCAGTTTTGTCCAGGATGGAAGGGACAACAGGGAGTTGAATGGGGGAAAGAACAGTGAGACCCTCTGTCCAAGGACAGAAGCGGCTGCCCAGGCACAGGGTGGATGTAAGCAATGCCAAGCCACTTCCTACACCTGAGACGTGCCCTGGAACCTTCTTCTGGCCACCCCTGGCTGGAGCCCTAGAGGGGCGTCCTGATTTCTCCTACAGACACTTCTGGCTCCACCCTGCCCTGGGATCCCACCTGAGGAGGAAACCTCTCTCCCAGGGTCAGATGCCACCCCTCCCTGCTCCCCGCACCTTCTGCAGATGGCGCCGGCCATGGCCAGGTAGAGGAGGTAGTGAACGGTGCCGTCCCAGTAGCAAATGAAGACTCCGTGCGCTGTGCGCAGGTATGGCTCTCCCTGTGGGGGGGCAGGTGGGAGGCTCAGACGGGCAGTGGGGCAGGGAGATCCCTGGCCGTCCCCCAAATACCTCCTTGGTGCAGAACTCCATGAAGCCCATCACATAGCCGTCTTCCTGAAGAGCGATGATGAGGTCCACAACGGAGGTGAAGGCGAGGACCGCGAAGACTGCAGTGAGTGGGGGGCGGGGTCAGGTGTGGGAGGAGACACGAGTGGGTGGGACTAGGGCTCAGTGTGGGCGGGGCTTGACGTTAAAGTCAGGGATGAGATTATTGCCGGCAAGGATTCCAGGCCCAGTCCCTGCCTCATTCTGCATGTCTGACGGAGGAGACACAGCCTGGCCCTCAGATGTCCCTGGTTTCATTGGAAGGCCCAGTGCCTGCCTTTAGGAGTCCCCAGTCTCATGGGAGAGGCACCATCCCTGCCCTCAGGAACGCACAGTGATGAGGCGGTACACTTTTTCATGAGTTTCCAATCTGGTGGGGGAGATGCAGTTCCTGTTCCTAGGAGCCCCAGATCTGATCCCAGGAGTGGAGGATCTTTGAGGTTCCTCAGTCTAATGGGAGTGTTCAAATCTCTTTGAGGTCTCCAGTCTGATGGGATATCTTAAGGGGCCCCCAGCCTGATGGAGGATGCCCTTCAATGTCCCCCAGTCTGATGGAGGAGGCCCTTCAATGGCCCCCAAGTCTGAGGGTGGAGGCCCTTTCCCAGACAGTCTTCTTCCCCACGGTTCCCCACTGACTCACCAGCGTAGAGTGGGTCATAGGAGATCTTGCCATGGGACAAGCTGTAGACCGCCACGAAGAGCAGACCCAGGATGAGGGCACTCATCAGTGCCACCCAGAGGGGGCTGTGGAGACGGAAACCAAGTCAGGGAGGCCAGGCCCAGTGCTGAGGCATCGCCCCACCCTCCTGGTGCTGGAAGGGGCAGACTCCAAGAAGCCCCAGGGAAGAGACGGAAGTGTCTGTCCATCCATCAGTGTTGCTCCCTGAAACTGCTCTCACCCTGGGCCAGGCCTCTGCTCAGGCTGTTACTTCCTTCTGGAAGTTGCTTCCAGAATCCTTTTCCACTTGACAAACTCCTACTCACCCTTCATGGCCCGTTCACATTGTTCTTCCTCCATGAAGCCCTCCCTGACTCCCCAGAAAGGATCACTGTTTAACTTGGGCCAGCTACAGAGAGGACATTCATCAGCCCCTTCTTTTTTTTTTTTGAGACTGAGCTCTGACGCCTAGGCCGGAGTGCAGTGGTGTGATCTAGGCTCACTGCAACCTCTGCCTCCTGGGTTCAAGTGATTCTCCTGCCTCAGCCTCCTGAGTAGCTGGGATTACAGGTGCCCACCATCCTGTCCAGCTAATTTTTGTATTTTTAGTAGATACAGGGTTTCATCATGTTGGCCAGGTTGGTCTTGAACTCCTGACCTCAGGTGATTCATCCACTTTCCTCCTAAAGTGCTGGGATTACAGGCGTGAGCCGCGCCAGGCCTTCCCCTCTGACTGTACCATTTATCCCATCATTATGTGTTTGACTCAGGCTGTTCATTCAACAACATCAAGTCCCTCTGTGGCCAGGCACAGCTCCCAAGCCAGAGGGTCTCGAGTGCTCAGTTCTGTGGACTTCACTGTCCAAGACTCCCGACTCCTCCCAGCTAAAGTCCAAATGCCTCCTCAGCTCCACCCTGCCTCTGCCCTGATCTGCACCACCAACGTGATAAGACAGGTCGACCAGTTGCATAGGTGACAGAAGTCACATCTCTGGGCATCCCTCAACCCAGGTGGGCAAATCCAGGCCCAAGGATGACGGGAGTGATGTCCAGTTGTCCAGGCTCACACAGCAAGACTCTGTCCATCGCTCTCCAGACCCCTACCTTCTCACGATCCCCTCTGCCCCCAAGATCTCTATCCTGACCCCATCTAACAATGACATTATAGTACTCAGATAAGACCAGGACAAATCTTTGCACACAGTTTGTAATCTTTTTTTTTTGAGACGGAGTTACCCAGGCTGGAGTGCAATGGCGCAATCTAGGTTCACCGCAACCTCCGCCTCCCAGGTTCAAGGGATTCTCCTGCCTCAGCCGAGGGATTACAGGCTTGCGCCACCACACCTGGCCAATTTGTGTATTTTTAGTAGAGACAGGGTTTCTCCATGTGGGTCAGGTTGGTCTCGAACTCTCGACCCCGGGTGATCTGCCCGCCTCAGCCTCCCAAAGTGCTGGGATTACAGGCGTGAGCCACCGCTCCTGAAACAGTTTGTAATCCTTAACCTAACTATGGGATGAGATCTAGGATTATGTCCATCACACTGATGAGGAAACTGAGGCTCCCAGAGGAACTTGGTTCACCCAGGATCCGAAGAGATGGAGACGGGTATTCCCACCCAGGGGGCCAGGCCTACAGTCAAGACTGTCTCCACCCCATGGCTTGAGTTGAGCTCGGTTTAGAAGTGCGAGGGGCTTGCAGATGCCCGCTATCCAGTGGCTGGACCTGCAGGGCTAGGATGCAGGGTTAGGAGACAGGGACCGGGAAAGGTAGTCTAGGAACAGGGTGAGCCAGCCCTGAACAAGAGGAAAGTCCCAGGCCGCTGTGTGTGTGTGTGTGTGTGTGTGTGTGTGTACTTTTACCTTGGCGACTTTGGAGCGTGTGCAGGGCGCATCCCTGGAAAACCCCAGAAATCCTTCAAACTCTGTCTTGTGGGGGCTCTCCTCATCATTCCTTCTCCCCAGGCCCCAAACATCCCAGGAGCGGCCGCATCCCAGCCTCCAGCCCGGCGGGAAGGGTACTTCCGATTAGAAGGGGGCGTTCTTTCGGCCCAGCCGCGTTCCAGTCGAGTCGGAGCTGAGCTGGGGCTCGGGGCTCGTAGGAGTCAGGTCCGCCGCCCGCGCATCCTCCCTCCCCCCTCCTCCGCCCCTCCCCGCCTCTGCCCGCTCCCACTGCCCCCAAAAGCGGCCCCGGCCGCTCCCCGCACGCACTGCGAGAGCGCCGAGATGTGGTTGAGCGCGTAGGACAGCGGGAGGGCGCTCAGCGACAACGCCGCGATCTTGCCGGCCAGCGGCGGGATGTCCATGGCGGCGGCGCCTGGACCCCGGCTCTGCCCCGGCGCGTCCTCCAGGGCGCTCGGCTCCTCGGTGGCGGCGCGTCCGGGCCAGGACTGCCAGGGACCCGCCCCGCGCAAAGGTCGCCCTCCGCTGCGCCCTGGGCTGGCCTAGGTGACCGCCCTGCGTGTTCTCGGGGCACTTCCAAGTTCCCTCCCCGGCCCTCCCCCGGCAGCTGCCCGGCCCCTTCGCCCCTCCCTATCGACACCCTCGTCGCCAGTGGCCTTCCCGCTACTCAGCCTCAGTTTCCCTCTCTGTCAAAGACTGGGACACACCATCTCAGGAGCTTCTGCTCTTAGGCCAAGGGGTGCGCCCCGGAGGTCTTAACGTGCCCCCTCTTCCCCACACCCCCACAACTTCGTTCTAAGGAAATTCGTTCTCCAGGACCCTTTCTGCCCTTCTAAACCTCTGCATTCCCCAGAGTTTTCCACCCTCACCCAAAGATCAAGTGGGCATTGCCTGTGCACGCTGATGGAACAACCTCCAGCTCTTGGGCGCAAAATGCCTTTTTTATTTTTGAGACAGAGTCTCACTCTGTCACCCAGGCTGGAGTGCAGTGCCATGATCTCGGCTCACTGCCACCTCCACCTCCTGGGTTCAAATGATTCTCCTGCCTCAGCCTCCTGAGTAGCTGGGAATACAGGTGAGCACCACCACACCCGGCTAATTTTTGAATGTTTTAGCAGAGATGGGGTTTCACCGTGTCGGTCAGGCTGGTATCTCAAACTCCTGATCTGGTAATCCACCTGCCTCAACCTCCCAAAGTGCTGGGATTACAGGTGTGAGCCACCGCACCTGACCTAAAATGCCTTTCCGTGTGCTTAGAGTTGAGTTTTCACACAGTGGCCACAAATGAAAACACGTTTCCAGGCAGGTGTGAAGTTTTGTTTGCTTGTTTTCATGTCCTGTTTATTTACACACATCTAGTATGTATGCCATATGAGTTTGATCCATTTTCCAGAGACTGCGCCTCTTAAAATGCTCTTCATATCTGTTAAACGGATGAGCTGAAACACCCTTATTTTTTAAGCAGTTGGTGTCTTACTATAAAAAAGGGTGCAGCAAATCCAGATCCAAAGTACAAACACATCATGGCTAGTAACCGCCACTTGTTTTCCACTGAAAATGGCAAATTCTTCCCAGGAGCCTCCTCATAGTGGCACCTACAGATCGCAGAGGTTGTGACCCTCCGGATGCTCTGGCCCAACATAGAGCTGCTGGAAGCTCTGCGGAAGACGCAGAGACCAAGGACGGAAGAAACAGCGGCACCTCACCAAGATCATTTGTTTTTTGAGAGGAGGTCTCAGTCACCCAGGCTGGAATGTAGTAGTGGCCTGCCTTGAGCTCCCAGCCTCAAGCGACCCTCCCAGCTCAGCCTCCCAAGTAGCTGGGACTACAGATATGCACCACCACGCACAGCTAATTATTTTATTTTTTGTAAAGATGGGGGTCTTATTTTGTTGCCCAGTCTGGTCTCAAAGCTCCTGGGCTCAAAAGATCCACTTCAGCCTCCTGAAGAGCTGCGATTACAGGCGTGAGCCACATCGAGGGCTAAGTGTGAAGCTTTGATTCCGGAGCTGTCCCTTTGCAGGATAGTCCTGGGTTGAGGATTCTTCATGGTGGGGAGAGGGTGGGGGCTGAACTTAGAATATCGGGGGGAGCCAGTTTGGTGAAGAGTTTGTGAATGTTGTTCCTGGCTGGGAGGAAAATGTCTCGGAAAATGGAACCGAGCAGCGGAAAGGAGGTCGGTTTGGCTGGGGTCTGATGAGAAGCCAGGCAGCTGGAAGAGACTGTGGAAGTTCTGAACAGCTCAGAGGGGGCTGCAGTATTGGAGGGGAGAATTAGGAGGAAGCCATTTGTCTGTCATGCCCTCCAACCAGCTTCGTCCTCTGGCCCATGTATGGATGCTGCAGACAGCAAGGTGAATCATGCCCGTCTGACTCCTGCCCCACAGGAGCCCGGTCTGGGGTTGGCACAGGTTCTAACCCCTGCCCCTACCCCTGACCCCTTCTGCTTGTGGGCCCTTGGCCTGATGCCAACTGGGTCACAGGTCTGAGCTGGGCCACAAGAGGGTCTTCTGGCCACAGGTCTGACTCAGCCTCCTTCCCCAGGTGCCCATTGCCCATGGGGTGAAGTTCAGGTTCCTCTGGACTGACTTTCCCCAACTCTAGCAGGATCAACACCCCGCAGGCTTGCTTTCTGTCTGCAAGATGAGCCTTCTTGTAAGGGGGTCCCAGCACCTCCTCCTCCAGGCAGCCCTGCCTGCCACCCCCACCCTATCTTCTCCATGCAGGGCCAGGGTGTCTGTACCCAGCTCAGTCTAGGCGCCAGGCCTTGCCCCGTGTCCAGGATGCACCTGCACACACACACAGCGTTTGGAGGCCTCATCCCCTGCCAGGGGGTAAAGTCCATGTCCTGAGCCTAGTGAGCCTCCAGCTCGCTGAGAACTCGGTGAAAACTCGAGAAGTGACTTGGACAGCTGAATGCCTGGGACCAAGCCCTAGGATTCCCCGTCTCCTGAACCACTGGCTGCAAAGAGCTACCCTGCTGTGCTCAGGGTCCTGGCCCACTGCCCTCTGGGCAGCCCCCATGCATGAGCACCCAGGCCAAGCCCACCAATGTTACCCCTTGCTCTGACTCATGCAGAGTCAGGAGCGGAGAAAGGGTGGCGTGTCACCCCAGCCTTGGCTCTGCCACTGCCTCTGGCACCTCCCTGGTCGCAGACCCCAGTGAGATACTCTGCAGGCTGCCCCATCTAGGCTCCCTGGTTCCTCTTGGTAGCAGCCTCAGACTTCGTCCCCAGCCGCCTGGCTGACTGGGGCAGATCTTGTCCACCTGGTCCCCGCAGTCAGCACCCAGTGTTTGCTGATGGCTGTGAGTGTGCAGGCTGGCCCAGGAGCCCGACTCCATACCGAGCCTGTGAATAGGGAGCCCCTGGTGCCTGCAGGGGCTGGGCAGCACCCACTGGGTGTGTGTGGGCAGGTGGGTATGCAGATTCCCAGGCCCCCCCCAACCTGGTGACTCAGGAGCTGCAGCTTAAGCTCCCCAGGGTGACTCTGGCACAAATGTAGGGCTCTGGCCTGGGGCAGATGTAGGGATCTTGGGCTACCCTCCTACCTCAAAACCTCTGGCTCTTCCAGGAGTTGCCTGACTTGCTGGCATGGCACATCCATCCATGTGGCTGTCCCCTAACAACACAAGCCCCAGGGACTCACGTATCTACGACACTGGTGGGACCTGAAAGGCCATAGCCATCACGTGTGGTGGGTTTGCCCTGTGCTGCCACCTGCTGGGAGGAGAGCGCACAGGTGTGCCCAGAAGCCACTTGCCCCCCACAGGTCTGAGGGAAGGCGGGGCCCTGCCTGGAGACCCCTCCCCAACCTTTCCCTTGCAGGACAGTGCTAGGCTGTCTCCAGCTTTATTTTTTGAGACAGAGTCTCACTGTTGCCCAGGCTGGAGTACAGTGGCACAATCTCAGCTCAGTGCAACCTGCCTCCCAGGTTCAAGCCATTCTCCTGCCTCAGCCTCCTGAGTAGCTGGGACTACAGGTGCATGCCACCACACCCTGCTAAATTTTTTATTTTTCAGTAGAGGCAAGGTTTCACCATATTGGCCAGGCTGGTCTTGAACTCCTGACCTGGTGATCCGCCTGCCTCGGCCTCCCAGAGTGCTGGGATTACAGGCGTGAACCAGTGTCTGGCTGCCCTATTATTATTTGAGATGGAGTCTTGCTCTGTCACCCAGGCTGGAGTGTAGTGGTGCAATCTCGGCTCACTGCAAGCTCCACCTCCCAGGTTCAAGTGATTCTCCTGCCTCAGCCTCCTGAGTAGCTGGAACCACAGGTGTGTACCACTACACCTACCTAATTTTGCTTTTTTTTTTTTTTTTGAGACACAGGGTCTCACTTTGTTGCCCAGTCTGGAGTGC